CTGCCACCAGCCACAGTGTGCGGCACCAGTGGCGGCTGGGCTCCCCGAAGAACTGGGTGCAGGCACCACTGAGCAGCAGGTGCAGCAGCAGGCAGAGAGCCCAGGTGAGGGCGCACACGCAGGTGGTCAGGTGGCGTGGGCGGCGGCACGGGTACCAGGCCGGGAAGAGGGAGGCCAGGCACTGCTCCAAGCTGACGGCCGCCAGGAGGCTCAGGCCCACGATGTAGCAGAAGAACCTCAGCGTGGCCAGGCTGGTCTGGACGAAGGCTGGGAAGTCCAGCTGGCCACGCAGCAAGTCAGGAACGACGGCCACCATGTGGCAGCCGAGGAAGATGAGGTCGGCGCAGGCCACGTCCAGGAGGTAGATGGCAAAGGGATTCCTGTAGACATTGGAGCTGAGCAGCCAGAGGACCGCCCCGTTCCCCAGCAGCCCGCCCAGGCTGAGGGTCTCAGTGAGGGCCAGGATGAGGAGGTTGAATGTCGCATCCTCCTGCCCGCCGCTGGGGGACTCTGTGAGCTGTCCGGATCCTCTCAACTCCATCGTTGGCAAAGCGTGAGGGCGGGTGAGCCGGGAGGGCTGGGAAGTTTGTCCTGCGCTCGCTCGCTCTCCTCCGATGCCCCTGTGGCCACAACAACAGCTGAGTTTGGGGCTCAGGAAACTCTGCCCCTGACCCGCCCCACATTGGAGGAGACAGGAGAGCCAGGGCTGGGTGGGTGGGTGACCGGAGCACGGTGAGACCCCAGGAGGAGGCTCCCCTCCCTTTTGTGCCCTGGTCACTTGACCTGAGCCTCCCTTCTCTGAGACTCCAGCCTCTGAGGCTGCTGCGACGGACGCTCAGGGGCTGGTCCTGCAGGTGGGGGGGGGGTGCGGGAAGAGGGTTCAAGGCCCGGTGGCCCCTGGTGCTAGTGGAGTCTTGATCCTTGGGATGAGTCTCATTTCAAGATTAAAGGCAGCGTATGACGTGCCACCTGTGTCCTATGAGTGGAGTGACCGCGGGGGGTCAACACGTGGTGGCCGGGCAGGTGTGCCTGTCATCATCCTTCCCCCTTCCAGTCCTCCCTTGATATTCCATGAGGGGCTGCTGCCAGTGGACTCCGAGTCCTGAGCCCTCCAGCCTGGCCACACAATGTGGCCAAGGTCAAGACCCCGGGAAACCTCCTTCACCCTCCCCATGTCCCTGCTGCCCTCAGCAGGACCCTCAGGGGCGCTCAGGGGCTGGTCCTGCAGGGGGGGGGGGGGTGCGGGAAGAGGGTTCAAGGCCCGGTGGCCCCTGGTGCTAGTGGAGTCTTGATCCTTGGGATGAGTCTCATTTCAAGATTAAAGGCAGCGTATGACGTGCCACCTGTGTCCTATGAGTGGAGTGACTGCGGGGGGTCAACACGTGGTGGCCGGGCAGGTGTGTCTGTCATCATCCTTCCCCCTTCCAGTCCTCCCTTGATATTCCATGAGGGGCTGCTGCCAGTGGACTCCGAGTCCTGAGCCCTCCAGCCTGGCCACACAATGTGGCCAAGGTCAAGACCCCGGGAAACCTCCTTCACCCTCCCCATGTCCCTGCTGCCCTCAGCAGGACCCTCAGGGGCAGGGGGGAGGCTCCATCCATCTCTCCTGCCACTCACCCGGTCCCTGTGGGGAGAAGAGGGACCGATGGTGAGGCGGGGAGGGGCCCAGCCCTCTGAGGTCCTCCCCTCGCACTTCATTCCTGCTGCGTCCCCAGGCAGTCGTGTCACTGGGGCAGGTCCGCGTGCTGCAGACGGGCCAGTGACATAGTTCAGTGTTAGACCTTGCTGGCCTGCCCAGAACTTGGAGCAGGAGACCCGCCTGCAGTTACCTGTCCCCATCCCGCCGCCTGAGGTTGCCTGTCCCTGCTCTGCCACCTGTGGCTACCTCTCCCCACCTCACTACCTGAGGTTACCTGTTGCTGTCTTCCCATCTGTGGTTGCCTCTTCTCGTCCTGCCACCTGAGGTTACCTGTCCCCATCCCACCACTTGTGGTCACCCAGTCCCATCATGGGCCCTGAATGCTGGGTGATCACAGCTCCTCCTCCCGGGGTTGGGGGACATGGATGGGGCCCTGCATCTCCCCAGAGACTCTGCATGGTGCCTCCGTCCCTCCGTGGTGGCTGCTCCCCTTGTCTCTTGGGAGGGGCCATGGTGAGGGTGGATGGCGCTGGGTGCTGAGTGAGGCCCCCTGGGCTGATGTTAGTGGCTTGCTCCCACCCCAAGCTCGGCTCAAAACGCCTGCTCTCCCCCTTCAGGTCTGGGAAGGTCTCAGGGCAACGCAGGAGGAGCCAGCCCTGGGGGGAAGGCCCGCTCTGAGCCAGGGGCGCTGGCTGCCCTGCAGGGTCCTGGTCACCTTCTCTCTCTGTTCAGAACCCCTGCTGTCTGCTGTCTCCTACTTGACAGGCTGAGGCCGTCCCCACCTCGGAGGTGAGTGGCTCAGCGGGGAGGACACGCCGATCCTGCTGCTCCAGGAAGTGAGTGCTGCCCATGGGGCCCAGTGTGGGTCACCCGGCCTGCGGGCCCACCTGGGGGTGGACTCGTCCCTCTGTCCACGTGCTCCATCCTGGAAGGCAGGGCACAGTGACGGACAGGCGGTAGGACAGAGGGGACTGCCCTGGGCCAGCCCTGTGGGATGCAGACCCTTCACGGGGCTGACGGGCATCACTGCCATTACAGGTGGGGATGAGGACAGAGGTCCTCCCACTCTGGAGAGCCCAGGCAGGGTCCCCAGCACTCAGGCCCAGAGAGGTCGTAAGTCAGCCCTCACTGGACCCTGTCCCAGCCACACGGTCCCCCCGCCCCACCCCGCAAAGCTGTCTGCAGGATCCCCAGGGAAGCTCTAGCCCTAAAAGAGTGGGTGGGCTTTCTCTAGCCCCGTGGCCCTCACGCAGGGCTCACCCCCTCCTGGGACGGCTGCCTCGCTCACCTCCTTCACCCAAAGGAGGCTGCACTGCCGTCAGCCTGGGACACGTGTGCCCCAGGGAGAAAGCTGGGATGGGAAGGGGGACAGGAGGAGCAGAGAGAGGAGGAGGGGAGGGGAGGAAGGGGAGCGAGCAGGACCATGAGCGGACAGGAAGAGGACGCAGCAGAGACAGCGCCTGCACCTGCCCCTGGGACAGGCATGGGGAGGGGACGCTCAGCCACTGGGCTGGTGCTGTCTCCTGTCACTGTGACCCTGGAGTGGGTCCGTGTGAGGGACCACCTACCAGTTGGAGGCCGGGGAGGGAGGGAGGGCTCGGTAGGTGGGGCCCCCACAATTGGGTTATGGGGCCCTAGGGTGGGAAGGGGAAAGGGCGCAGGAGGGAGGGGGAGGGGGAAGAGGGACAACAGCAGGACAGAACGGGGAGAGGGCACAGCGCTGGCTCCATCGGCGGGAATCCTGGAGGCCCAGGGCTGTGCAGAAAACCATCCAGGCTCAGCGCCGGGTGTGGCCGGGAGAAGAGGGCTCAACCCTGGGCTCTCTCCTTCACCCTCCCTTGAGAGCCACCAATTTCCCTCCCCACCAGCATGGAGCACAGACAGCGTGTGGGAAGTGGGGTAGACGTGGGCCAGTGCCACCAGGGGGGACTGTCCTTCAGCTGAGGGTCCCCTTCTGGAGTCAGCACAGAGCTGGCCACAGGCCAGGAGGGTGGAGGACAGAGCCTGGAAAGTTACACTGTTGACAGCATCAGACTAGCACCCACGCCCCTCCCCACCCTGCCCCGTCTGGCCAAGCTCCTGGGCTGGCCCCAGAGACCCCCTGGCCACGCCGCCCGTGCTGCTCACCGTGCTGGTGGAGGACCGGCCGGCCCTGCCTCTCCGGCCCTGGGCCTCGGAGACCCCCTGGCCACGCCGCCCGTGCTGCTCACCGTGCTGGTGGAGGACCGGCCGGCCCTGGGCCTCAGAGCTCCAGCCCCCAGCGCCTCTTGCAGCTCCTCCTCTGTGTCAACCAGCTCCTCAGAGTCACATGGTGTCTGGCTGGGCGGGTCCAACCAGGGAGGAGTCTCTCTGGGGACCCTTTCTCCTCTGCTCAGCCCCTGCCCAGGTATGGGCAGCAGGAGAAGTGGGCCCCTCCCTGCAGCCTTCTGAGCAGGTCCAGGGAGCACAGAAGCCCACGAGGTATCTGTGTGGAGCTGCGCCAAGCTGTGACCTCACCATGCTCTCGGCTCAGAGACACCAACCCCCGTGGGGCCCTTTAGGGACCACTTCTCTCCATCAGAGACTTGGAGGGGGTGGCCGCGTGCCAGGCAGCCAGTGGCACTGTGCTTGCAGTGAGATGCGTCTGTGTCTACAAGAGTGGAGCTGCTGGCCGAGCTCCTCCAGGCCGGCCCTGCTGTGGGGAGAGCAGGCTGCGCCCTCTCTCCTGCCCCTGCCCACAGGGACGCTGGCCGGCTGGCCAGGGAGCTGCTGCACGGTCTCCGTTCGAGCAGAACTGACACATGCAGCAGCGTCATACCTGATGATATCTTGTGAGCTCAATTACTCTGCTTGCTTCCAAGGGGAAAAAATGTGCCCCTCCCAGGCTACACCTCACCCTCCAGTGCCTGCCGGTAAGTGAGGTCACGGCTGACGTGCAGAGAAAGAAAACAAGTTCAGTGTTTGGCTCTTGATCTTCCAAGAGTCCAGGTCCTGGCAACACTTTCCTCATCTTTGTATTTTGAAAATCTCTGACGCAGACTTGCTGACTGCTACTCTGTCCCCACTTGTGCGCTGTGTCGCTGCTGAGCCACATGGTAGTGGCTTTTCACCTTTAAATACTTCAGCAGGTCCCTCAGAGCGGGGCACCCTCCCTCCTAACCAGAGTGTGAGGGCTGCGCCAGCAGACTTGTGGTCGACGCGCCGCTGTCATCTGATACACAGTTGCGCTGTTTGTTAAGGTTCTGTCTCTGAGCTCCAAAGCCACCCTTCCTTGGCCGGCTTTGTGACGCTGGGGCTGGGGCCGGGCCTGGGCTCTGCAAACCCCCAGGGGCTTTGCCAGCTGCTCCCTGTGAGGCTCTGCCAGTAGGGGGCGCTGGAGGAGACTGCAGGGCTGGAGGGCTGGTGGCCCCCGCTCCAGTTCTGTTCCTGGTCCTGCACGTGTGTTTCCTGCCGTGGCTACCACAGCAGCTTTCTTCACCTGGCAGCAGCAGCTGACTCCAGTTTGCAGTTTCTCCAGCACTTGAGAAACCAGCTCCATTGATGGCCACCAGCTGGCCGGGACCCCCTCGTCGGAGATCTGAACTGCAACTTTGCAGGCTCCCGCAAGTTCTTAATTTCATAATCCTAACCTCCTGCCTTTGTTCCTTGAGCCCTAGGGGTGGCAGGTCTTGCAGTCGCTACTCTGTAAAATCTCAGGGTTCCCTTTTCTCCCTCTTGGTTCTTTAATATCTGAATGAACAATTATTTAAGTTCGTCCTGTCAAAATTACATGTAGCTTTTTCCTCCTGGCTATGTCCCTGCTGGTACTGAAATGGGTCACAGAAGGGGTCTGCTATAGGTTAAATGTGCCTCCCAAAAGTTCATGTATGGAAACCTATCTCCACTGTGATGGTGTTAAGAGGGTGGGAGATCCGATTATGTTATTTGGAAGGTGGG